CTAATTATCTGTCTATCTATCTTTCTATTTGTCTGTCTATCTATCTTTCTAACTATTTGTCTATCTACCTTTCTATCTATCTATCTTTCTATCTGTCTATCTATCTATCTTTCTAACTATCTGTCTATCTACCTGCATGTCTGTCTGTCTGCCAGTCGACTTTCCTTCCCCCCTTCCCTCCTTCCCCACCTCCTTACCCTTCCCCCCCCTCTCTTCCCCACCTCCCTCTCGCCCCCTTCCCTCTCCCCCCTTTTCCCCCCGGGCACTCTAGCCTAACAACCTAACAAACGGGCGGTTCGTTAGGGCTATTGTGCGCCCTAACAAGCTCTCTGCTCGCCCGCCTCCGCCCATTCCCCGCCCGTTCCCCGCCCGCCCGTTTTCCCCGGGTGTTTTGGGCGGGCACGTGTCGCTTGCACGTCTGTCATAACAAGTCGCGAGATGGAAAAGGGGGAAATTGAATTATGCAACGAAAGGCGGCCGATCTTCAAATCTAAGATGGGTGAAGGGGAGAGGGGGGGGAGAGAGGGGGCGAAAGGGGGAGTTGGAATGGGCGTCCCTCTGGCTTTACCTTATTTGTTTAGATTGTTTGGTTTCATCTTTCTGTAACATAAATGGAATTCATCTGCAGGAATTACATTCACACTCTCTCTCTCTCTCTCTCTCTCTCTCTCTCTCTCTCTCTCTCTCTCTCTCTCTCTCTCTCTCTCTCTCTCTCTCTCTCTCTCTCTCTCTCTCTATCACACTCACACTGACAGAAATACAGAGACAATCACACACACACACACACACACACACACACACACACACACACACACACACACACACACACACACACACACACACACACACACACACACACACACACACGCACAAGGACCCCCCCCCCCCCACAAAGGTCCCCATCAGCATAACCGCAGCAACAACCCGAGCGCCGCGCCGCCCACTTCCCTCCCTTCCACCTGGACGCCCGCGCTCTCGCCTCGTCAATGGGATGGGGCAGAAATAAAGGGGGGAAGGAGAGGAGAGGGGAGGAGAGAAGGGGAAAAAAGTAAGGAGGGGGGGTAAATAGAGGAGAAGAGAGGGGAGGAGAAAAGGGAAAAAGAGTAAGGAGAGGAGAGGGGGAGGAGAGAAGGGGAAAAACATAAGGAGAGGGGGTAAATAGAGGAGAAGAGAAGGGAGGAGAAAAGGGAAAAAGAGAAAGAGAGGAGAGGGGAGGAGAGAAGGGAGGAGAGAAGGGGACAAAGAGTAAGGAGAGGGGGTTAATAGAGGAGAGGAGAGGGGAGGAGAGAAGGGGAAAAAAGTAAGGAGAAGGGGTGAATAGAGAAGAGAGGAGAGGGGAGGAAAGGCAAGGAGAGGGGAGAAAAGAAGAGGGAGTGAGAAGGGAGGAAAGAGAGGAGAGGGGAATAAAGAGAGGAGACGGAAAAGGAGGTAAGATGTTGAAGGGAAAGGAGTAGACACGGGGAGGGAAGGACGGAAAGGAAGGAGATAAGGGAAAGGCAAGCGAGAAAAAAAGAGAAACGAGAGAGGAAAAAAAAGGACAGGGTAAAGCAAATAAGAAAACTAGGGAGAAGAGGAGCGTGGAGAAAAAAGGACAGGGAGGAGGAGAAGAGAAGAATGGAAGGAAAAGTAGAAAGAGAAAGGTAATCTAAACTCAAGATGTATCGTCAACAAGTGATAAAAACTCTCCAATAACCGTCGCCGTCACTGGCACAGTACATACCCCGCCGAATTCTACCTTTTTTTCTACTTATACCTTAAAAAAAAAAAAAAAACTTACACTTTTTCCCATAATGATTCGCCCATCAGCAGCCCATAACAAAAAACAGAAATGCCGAACGATACTTTCCGCTTTCTTATCTCGTATTTAACCCTCCCCCTTCCCTACCGATCCTATCACCCCCTACCCCCGACCCCTTACCCCCCCTCGCCCCCCCCCACCGACGCCACCGGACGACACCAATGAACATAAAAATATGAATAACGAGCTCCGCCAGCGCCTCCCCCTCCTCCTCTCCCCTTCCCCTTCCCCTTCTCCGTGGGCAGCTGAGCGTCCTACCCCTCTCCCCTCCCCCCTTTCCCCCTCCCCCCAACCCGTAACATCTAATGGAGGAACAAAATCGCTGGACTTGTTATTACGCCGATCGTCACATTTCACGGAAGCTCCGGGGCGCCTCGCGTCGTGTGTGTGCGTATGTGTGAGTGTGTGTGTCAGAGAAAGAGGGAGGAAGGAGAGAGAAGAGAGAGAAGAGAAAGAGAGAGAGAGAAGAGAGAGAAGAGAGAGAGAGAGAGAGAGAGAGAGAGAGAGAGAGAGAAGAGAGAGAGAGAGAGAGAGAGAGAGAGAGAGAGAGAGAGAGAGAGAGACGATGAACCAGATTGAGACGGCATTTAACTCCCCCGGTTTCCCCACAAAATGTTACACACACACACACACACACACACACACACACAAACACACACACACACACATTCAAAAAAAATCGAAAAATGACAATCCCCATCCACCCGTTAACCCAGAAATGAATCTAATTTCTTTTTTCTCCAAACATATATTCAACAACGACCAAAAAAGAAAAAGAAAAAAAAAAAGTTGGAAAGAAAATTCACCCACGATCGACCGAACTTAAATACCCTCCTTCCCCCACCTCCCATCCCCCCACCCCCCATCGCAAACGCCACCCATCAACCGCACCCCAACGCCATCTCCCGGCAATTAAAACAATCAAATCCCCCAGATGCTCCAGCGCACGGAATCCACTCCAAGAAGAAGGCTAATAATGGAGATGAATTACCCACTTTAACACTGCGGTCACCTGGCAAATGCGCATCACGTGGCAGAGGAACGGCGAGTCAGCAGGGGAAAGCAGCAGGAGCGGAAGCCTAAAGCAGAAGATCCCGAAAGCAGAAGAAAAAAAAAATTAAAAAAAGCTTTAAAAATAAACTCAAACCGAGAGAGAGAGAGAGAGAGAGAGAGAGAGAGAGAGAGAGAGAGAGAGAGAGAGAGAGAGAGAGAGAGAGAGAGAGAGAGAGGAAAGTAGGAAAAGTTAGCATACAAAAAAATAAAAAAGAGAAGGAAAAAAAACAAACTAGGAAAGAAAGAAAAAAAAAAAGAACAACTAGGAAAAAAGACAAGAAAAATGAAGGAAAAAAAATAAACGAAAAAGACTGCCACAACGCCATGAATAGCAATATAACCCCCCAACCCCCACCACCACCGCCGTGTTCTAGCAGCACCCAGGCCGCTTATCTAACTCGGGAAAATCAATAAATTTGCCCCGAAACAGCTGTTGGTGCAGAGGTAGAGGTGCGGGGTAGGGGTGCGGGGTGGCCCTTCCCCCCCTACTCTCCTTCCCCCTCCCCCCACCAGCGCCCCTTCGTACCCAGGTGTTGTCCAACGGCGTCCCTCTCCCCGTCTTCTTCTTTTTTTTTTTTTTACATTCGTCTTTTTCTTCCGTTTATTCTGTTCCTTTCTATTCACTTTCTTAATCTTGTTCTTCGTTCGCTGGCTCTTCTTCTCCATCTTATCTGCCTGCTTCGATTTGCCTTTTCTTTGTCAAACTGCTTCCGTTGGATAAAGTTTAATGGATGTCAGTATTGGGAAAGAATTTTAAAAGTAGAGATAGAGATGAGATAAGAGTAAGAAAAATAGAAAATGGGAAATGGAGTAAGACCGCGAAGAGAGCGACAGACAAGAATAAGATGAAAGAAAAGGAGGGAGAGAAGGAAAGAGAGAGAGACAGAGAGAGAGAGAGAGAGAGAGAGAGAGAGAGAGAGAGAGAGAGAGAGAGAGAGAGAGAGAGAGAGAGAGAGAGAGAGAGAGAGAGAGAGAGAGAGAGAGAGAGAGAGAGAGAGCACAGAAAAAGATCCAAGAAGAAACAGCGACACAAATAAAATAAAATAAATAAAAAATAACCAAACAAATAACGAAAAAAAAACGAAATAATAAAAATAAAATACATAAACGCCATTTAACAGGAAAGCTCCTCAGAATATTGTGCATCGCTCAGCCCCGTCTCTCGTGCAGTGGGCGGGCGGGCGGGCGGGCGGGCGGGCGTGGCGCTGGCGTTGCACAGGTCAGCGCCATCGAGTCCCCGCCTCCGCAGCGTCTCAATGGGCCGCCCGTCGCCCTCGCCTTCCTCGGGGAGACTTTTAATTTCCGGAGAATGCGAGAGACGACCGCCTTACATTCGCCTAGTGCAATGTATACACCTCTTGCTGTAATGTAGTGCATTTTACCTCCCCCCCCCCCACACGGAAAATAAGACAGAAGAGCGTTATCGAACCGCCATGATTTTTGTGTAACTCTGAGAAGTGTTTTACCACTGTCAGGAAATCCGTTTAGAGAAAAAAATATATCATCGACATTTTTTATTTACGTTTCTCTTAATCTTATCCCTGTAGAGACAACGAAATGTCTTCTTGCCTTCTATTTTTATCGCGCCTAAATCTTAATGTGTGACCTTTACCTGAAAAAGAAAGGGCGGTCGGAAATGTCCCGCTGACCTTCAAGTTCCTAAAAATAGCGTAATATGTTTTGGAACCGTAATGTAATCCCTGGAGTTTCTCGGTATCACGCCACACTGGAAGTTGTGGTTTGTTGTTTTAATATCACTCATGTTTAGAATTATAAAAAAAAAGGCCGTGGTAAATGTAAAAATAATAATGACAATTATGGTAAATAATTCCGTTCGCTCGTTAATTGTAATGTTTCTCTTTAATAAATAATGGGTCGCAAATTTCTCGTGTATTTGTTTTCTTAAGTCAAATGCTATAGTCTACCATCAAAACCAATCCGTTTTCTGTGAGATAATTCTCAGCCTTTCTACGCTTAAGAGAAAACGTAACTATATTAAGGGGGACTGTACCATAATCAATCGAACAAGTTTTCTTTCGGAAATATTGAATCACGTCCGCATACGTGATCTTTCCTGTAATTTTATATAAATTGAATACATGCACAATTTCCATACAACATGTATGAAAAAGATCTTATTATAACCTAC